GTTAACTCTTTCAATTGTTTTTCTGTTCTCTATTTCATTTAATTCTGCTCTAATTCTTATTATTTCCTTTCTTCTGGCACTTGAGGGCTTCTTTTGCTGCTTTCTTTCTACTTGTTCCAGTTGTAGGGTTAATGTTTTAATTATGGCCCTTTCTTCTTTTTAGCTGTGTGCATTGATTGCTATAAGCTGACCTCTGAGCACTGCTTTTGCTGTGCCCCAAAGGTTCTGGTAGGATATGTTTTCATTCTCATTTGTTTCTATGAATTTCTTTATTCCATCCTTAATTTCTTCTGTAACCCAGTAGTTTTTGAGCAAGGTGTTGTTCAGTTTCCATGTGTTTGTTTGTTTTTTCCTTGCTTTTTGTGTTGTTGATTTCCACTTTTGTGGCTTTATGGTCAGAAAAGATGCTTGGTGATGTTTCTACGCTTGGCTTTTGTTAAGGCTTGCTTTATGGCTGAATATGTGGTTTGTTCTGGAGAATGTTCCATGTGCATGGGAGAAGAAAGTATACTTGGCTGCTGTTGGGTGGAGTGTTCGGTATATGTCTATGAGATCAAGTTGATTGATTGTAGCATTTAGCTCTTCTGTATCTTTGTTTAGCTTCTTTCTGGATGTTCTGTCTTTCACCAAAAGTGGTGTGTTGAAATCTCCTGCTACTATTGTGGAGCTGTCTCTCTCTCTCTTTTCAGTGCTGTTTTATGTATTTTGGAGCCCTGTCATTGGGTGTGTAAATATTATAGTTATGTCCTCCTGGTGTATTCACCCTTTAATCATTATATAGTGTCTTATCCTTTCTGGTGGATTTTACTTTAAAGTCTTTTTTTTTTAGAGATTAATATTGCCACTCCTGCTCTTTTTTGAGTGTGGTTTGCTTGATACATTTTTTTCCATCCTTTGAGTTTTAGTTTGTTTGTGTCTTTAAGGTGTGTCTCTTATAGGCAGCATATAGACGGATTGTGTTTTTTTACCCAGTCTGCCACTCTCTGTTTATTGGTGCATTCATCCATTTACATTCAGCGTAAGTATTGATAGGTATGAGTTTTTGCTGTCATTTTGATGTCTTTTTGTGTGTGTTGTTCACAGTTTCTTTGTTCCCCTTAATTTTCTGTGCTGAGTCATTTTTCTTTATGTATTTTCTTTTCATCTTTTTCATTATTGTTGAGTTTGTGTTTGCTGAGTCTTAATTTTTCTAGTTTTTTATTTTGATTTGTAGGATTGTTTCTTGTGTGGTTACCTTAATATATGCCCGTATTTTTCTAAGTTTATACCAGTCTTTTATTCTTTATATCGCCTTGACTTCCTTTTCATATGAAAAATCTATGTCTACATTTTTTAAGTCCCTCTTTTTTCTTTTAATGTTGACATTTTTTACATATGGATATCTCTGTTTCCCTGTTTTCGATGTTTTAGCTTTGATGTATTTTTGTGACTTCCCTATCTGAGTCGATATTTGGTTACTCTGTCCTGTGTTCTAGTCTTGCGTTGTTATCTGATGTTACTGATTTTCTAACCGGAGAACTCCCTGTAGTATTTCTTGTAATTTTGGTTTCGTTTTTGCAAATTCCTAAACTTCTGTTTATCTGGAAATGCTCTAATTTCGCCATCATATTTGAGAGACGTTTTTGCTGGATATATAATTCTTGGCTGGCAGGTTTTTTCCTTCAAGGCTTTATATATGTCATCTCATTGCCTTCTTGCCTGCATGGTTTCTGCTAAGTAGCCTGAGCTTATTCTAATTGACTGTCCTTTGTAGATGACTTTTCTTTTATCCCCAGCCACTCTTAATCTCTTTATCTTTGGTTTTGGCAAGTTTGATTATAATATGTCTTGGTGACTTGCTTTTAGGATCTCCCTCATGTAGGGTTTGATGAGCATCTTGAATAGATGTCTTGTCATCTTTCATGATATCAGGGAAGTTTTCTGTCAATAAATCTTCAACAGTTCTCTCTGTATTTTCTGTTATCCCCCGTGTTCTGGTACTCCAGTCACTCGTAGGTTATTTCTCTTGATAGAGTCCCATGTAACTCTTAGAGTTTCTTCATTTTTTAAAAAATTCTTTTATCTGATTTTTCCTCAAAGAAGTTGGTGTCAAGTGCTTTATCTTCAGTGTCACTAATTCTGACTTCTACTGCCTTAGTTCTGCTTCTGTGGCTTTTATTGAGTTGTCTAATTCTGAGATTTTATTGTTAATCTTCTGGATTTCTGATTGCTGTCTCTCTGTGGATTCTTGCAGCCTATTAAATTGTCATTATGCTCTTCAGTAACCTTTTTAAGTTTCACTACTGCTTTGTGTGTTCTTTGGATTTTTCTGGGCTTTAAAGAATTATCTTTCTAATTTCTGGAAGAGTTCTGTATATTAATCTTCTGTATTCTGCCTCTGGTAATTCCAAGAAATTCTCTTCCTCCAGAAAATTTATTGATTCTTTATTTTGGGAGCTCGCTGAAGCCATCATGGACGCCTCTTTATGTGATTTGATATTGACTGTTGTCTCTGAGCCATCAATAAGTTATTATAATTTTATGTTTGTTTAGTGTGTCCTAGGTTCTTGTTTTGTTTTGATATGCCCAAATAGGCTGCTCGTGTGCGCTAGTTTCATTATTGGCACCTTTGAAGCTCTTACGTCCTGTTACCAGGTAGTTAGGTCTGTAACTAAGTATGTGTGCCCAGGAATCTGTTATATTTTCCTGTATGGATTCAGCTCAGGTGTCCAGGCAGTCGGTTGCCAGGTGTGTGGTGCAGGCTGTTACGTACAGTCTTAGAGAGGCATAGGTGATTGGTGTAGGCACAGGTATCTGGCTGGAGCAGGGGATCACTTGCTGAGTAGGTCAGAGGCCTGATGGCTGCCCCTGAGTGTCTGAAAAGAAAGCGTGTCTCTGTTCCCTAGAGTGAGGAGGTAGGTGAGTTTTGCAGCTGGAGTATGAACACTCTACTCTGTTGGCTGTAAGGACTAGGGGGCACCACTTATTCTTGGACCCCTGTAGCAAGTGGCTAGGTGGTGTGGGTGGAACCTCCAGTCCTGAAGCCACTGATGCAGACAGGGAAGGCACCTGCTTAAAAGGCAGAGTAGTGTCAAGTGTCACAAATCTGCCACTTCACAGCTGAAGCAGCTGAAGTTAGATTTCACGTATTTACCCTGTTGTACTGTGGTAGTGAGGGCTTATGCTGTTGAGATGGGTCCACACAAGTCCATACAGGGGTGGAAGGCACTCAGAGTCTGTAGACCCCTTATGCTAGGGCCTAGGCAAAGGAGCTGTGCCAACCCTGAGTTCCTGGCTTAGGGGGGCTGGTAGCTTATTTTTTCCCTGTTAATTTGTTCTCTCTCAAAGGCCAGGAGAATGGGTCAGGGCACCTTATGGGATCTACTTCCGCCCGGACCCTGTGCAGAGCAGGGAGGGAGGAGGTAAATGGGAGATAGGTATTTCCCAAGTGGGTTTTTTTTAAATCACCCTGAAAGGCCACACACGTACTTATCTTTAGCCACTTGGGTGCTGCTTTTCACTGGTTCGGAGTGTCCAGGTAGAATCTCTGCTGCTGGATCTCTCTCGATGTGGAAAGTGCCTCGCGAGCGAGCGGAGCTGTATGCCCGCCTCACTGCACACCCTGAGCTGATCTGGGCTAAAGAGCTGTGGCTCCCGCTGGGTCAGGTCCCGCAACTCCTC